GTGTGTGTGTGTGTGTGTGTGTGTGTGTGTGTGTGTGTGTGTGTGTGTGTGTGTGTTTTCGGCGCTCGCAACTGCATAATATTATTAAGATCATACGATTGAGCAGGATACACCAAACATTTTCAGTTGGTAGGAAATTTTGAATTTTGCCCAGGTGGCGGCCGGAGCTTACTCCTTTCAATTTTGGACCACCAAGGGATCTTTAACATTCGCAACTTGCACTTGGGACCTCCGAGATTTTTCGCCCTTGTCCGAGAAGGCTAGGTGTAGATTTTACTCACTATAAGACAAGGAGTGTGGCTGAAAGACAGCAATAAGAAGGCGCCAAGGAGAAGCAGTAGAAAGGCTGCAGAAAGAGTCAGGAGTCGAGAGGAGGGAGCAAAAGAGGTAAGGTGGTTAGGGCAGAAAGTGGAGACGAAAGCAGACGACAGAACATTGTTAGAGAGCAGGAAAGGGGGTGAAAGGAGAACATTTTAGAGAAGAAAATTCTCCGTCGCTATCCAGATTCGAACCCACCTTAACCTCTAGGCCAAGAGAGCCCCCTGTTGTGTGTGTGGGTTTTTTTCATACAAGAATGAATCCTGAAAGAAGATTCTTTCACGACCTATTCAGCTGTAATGAGAGGTGTTGTTTTATGATAATGGTTAGGCTCTGTATGGCAAAGCGTGTATGCCTACTTGACTGTCAGGAGTGAATCAAACTCATTAGAGAGAGTCATGGAGGTGGGTGGAGGGAGGGAGGGGAGGTAGGAGAGAGAGGAGGGGTAGAGAGAGATGGAGGGAGAAATAGAGTGAGGCGGAGAGACAGATGTAGAGAGAGCAGGAGATGAGGAAGAGAGATAGAGGGTGAAAAAGGGGGAGGCGGGGAGGGGGGGAGAGATAAAGAGAAAGAGAATGTGAAAGAGAGGGGAAGAGGGATACAGATATATAGCAAAGAGGCAGACAGACAGACAGACAGACAGGCAGACAGACAGACAGACAGACAGACAGACAGACAGACATATAGACAGACAGACAGACAGACAGACAGACAGACAGACAGACAGTAAAAAAGAGGGTCCAGTGGTGAAAAGGACAAAAAAGATTCACCTCTTTCAAAGCCTCTCCGATGGTTTCCTCTATCTCCTCCTCAGTTGGAAGCGCCACCTCTCCTCCCTCCTCATCTCCTCCCTCCTCCTCTCCTCCCTCCTCCTCTCCTCTCACCTCCTCCGCCTTGGCCACAACGCTGAACACGACAAGTGTCGCAACCACGCAGAAGATCAAGATTTTGAGGTTCATCTTTACCCGTCACGCGTGGGCTGTGGAAAAAACAGCAACAACAATAACAACATTCACAACATCAGTAACAACAGTAACAACCATAACATCAATAACAACAGTGACAACAATAACATCAATAACAACAATAACAACAAAAACAACATTAACAACAATAACATCAGTAACAAAAAAACCCAAAAAAAACAATAACAATAGTAAGAACAAAAGCAACCAGGGGCGGCTCGTGGGTCTAAAGTGGGCGTGCACAATTCAGCTATCTTAGGCTGAAGATAATCAAGGGCAGAGTAAATGGGATGGTGTATAATTTTAGGATCTTTGGGTTGGTGAAGGAAGACCTTAGTGCTTTTATTTTCATTCTTTTTACTTGTGGCTTTGACTTCTTCTAGAACTAAATCTGTTTGTTAGCTAAACGTCAATTTCATTCATCCTGCATTAGAACTGAACACTAGTAATACATTTCACCACTCCACTACAAAACCGTTCAAACGCACAACTCATAGGACGGCGACTTAAGTATGTCACGTTCACCTCCCTCAGGTTCACGGTCACAGAGTTACTTAAAATAGCGACAAGACAATTCACTTGAGCACTCCTCCACATAATTTTGACATGGAATAGTGCAGTCTATGGCGTTTATTTTTAGTCGGCGCTATTCGGCAGGAGCATATTTGAGATGTGCCGTCTTATTAATATTAATGTAACGTCAAACTCTCTACAAGTGTCGTCATCGCTTGGGTTATCCTAAAGACCGATTTGTAGGTCAGGTTTCCACTGTTGACTATCCTGCTATGTTTAGATACAGCGCATGAACTTAGGCATGGCATAGTAGATGTTTTACGGCGCTATAGAATAGAAATGACAGTTACGGCGCCAGCGAGGGCCTTGTTTTGATATAATATTTGGCTAATGTTTGTCTCTGGCGTCTTTTATTTTATCATTGAGGGTGCTTTACGTCATAGAACATTAAAACATTTTGGGCGGCACTGCACGACCGTGCTCTAGGGACGAACCGCGCCTGAAAGCAACAATAACAACAATAACAACATCAGTAACAACAGTAACAACAATTACAACAACAGTCGTAGCAACAACAACAATAACAATAACAAAAGCAACAACGACAATAACAATATAAACAACTAAAACATCAATAAGAACAACAATAATGACGCAGTTATAACAATAACAACAACATTTCAGTTGTGAAAGAGAGACAATGATTTAATTAATTCAAAGAATTAAACACACAGGCACAACGATCTACTCGGAGTGAGATGTTGAAATTAATTACATAATCAAGTTTTCTCAAACGAAAGTTCCAAAGCACGTAAGATACAGAGTCAAAGGAGTGGGTGGTTGGCGGGTGCTTTGGTGTGGTTTGCTCCTTCTTTCCAATCAGACAAAGATCTATTGTTATATTATGATCGTCCTTGATCACTCCTTCTTTTTGTGTCTGTTACTCTCTTGTGCTACCTCTAATCTTTGGCACTCGTCTGGCCTAATCGTGTTGAAAATTCCGTAAAGCTCTTACCAAAACAATAAAACAAGAGTCTTGGGTTTGAGTGTCGTCGACGGGACGAGGTATACCCTCAATTCTCTCTGACAAGACAAGACAAGACAAGGTATACTCACAATTCTCTCTGACAAGACAAGACAAGACAAGGTATACTCACAATTCTCTCTGACAAGACAAGACAAGACAAGGTATACCCAGAATTCTCTCTGACAAGACAAGACAAGACAAGACAAGGTATACCCACAATTCTCTCTGACAAGACAAGACAAGACAAGACAAGGTATACCCACAATTCTCTCTGACAAGACAAGACAATACAAGGT